AAATAATTAAGTAAAATTCTTGGAAATAAAAATGTAATAACAAAAGGTTTAAAATCAAGGGGAGGTTTAACAGCAAATCAGACTTAACTGAAAAGTGAATTAGGAACTGATAAGTCAGAAAAAAAATTACTCATAGTGCAGTACAGAGACAAAAAGATAAAAGATATAGAAAAGATAATGAAAGACTTAAAGAGTAAAATGAGAAGCTTTAACATACATTTAACCCAAGTACCCAAAGGAGAGGAGAGAAAGCATAAAACAAACGCAATATCTGAAAAGATAACGGCTGGGAATCTTCTAGAACTGATAAAAAAGAAAAATACCAAACCACAGTTTCATGAAGTCCAGTAAAACTAGAAATTTAAAAAAAAAAAATCATACTTAAATACATTGCAGTTAACTGCAGAAAATCAAGACAAAAATAAAATCTTAAAAATAGCAATGGGAAGTAGTAATGGAGGTGGTGAGATAAAATGCAACAGAATTACTTTAAAGGGGCTCTAACAATTTGAATTAATGAACTCCAGTGTTTATGTGATCCTCTATATTCTGCTTTACTCCAAAAAGAATTCAAGACAGCTTACCATGATTCGTATAATGAAATTCAATAAAGCAAATTTAAAATGAGATACGTAAAGAGAAATAGAAGAGGAAAGTAAGCTGGAAGCAATAGTAAGATTCAGTCCCAAAATGCATGCTATAAATTCCTATTTGCTTTCTAGAGAGGAACCACAAATTTGGCTTTAAGCATTTTAGCAGTCAATTACAAGATTTTCAGTAAAAAACTAGTCAGTCAGGGAAAACTATTCCTAAAGGAGATGATAATTAGAATGATAGTAAACAACATTTGCAACATCCTCTTACAATAAGGAAAGACACGTTTTACAAGACCAAATGCAACTTTATACGGAAGACCAAGGAATACCAATATGATGTATTACAGAGGTGAGGCTCAACCCAGGAGGATGCTCTTAGGGTAATGGGTGGTCAGAAAAATCTTAAATACACGAAGTACTTGCCTCAGTCAAGTTTCCGAAAGTTTTAAGAGTCTTTTCCTGACAAGTACCTAGGTGCAGCTATTCTATGTGAATAATTAGGTACAGAGCCATATACAAAACTATCTGCTAAGCCAGGGGCAGGATAATAGGCTCTTATGAAAACTGAGAAGTCAGACATCATTCCATCTCAACTCACAGGAGATCCAGAATGTTCCTTAACCAGTCTTATTACTCTACAAAGCAGATGACATGGCTCTACCTTCTAAAAGTGGCATTAATTGAAAAGAAGTAAGATCTAACTGACAGTCGGAGCAAAAGAGAAATCAAAAGGACTTGGTACAATTGATTAGGTCAGCAGAAAAAAGTAAAGATGCCTACATAGTTTTGAATGAGGGAGAACAGAAGTACCGTTAACTGAAAAACTGGGCAGACACATTTTGAAGGAAACAGAACAGCTCAGTTTTAGACAAAATGTTTGGGTTTGAATATCTGTGCAGAAATGTCTAGAAGGCATTTTTTAGAATGTTCTAGAAATGCATGACTAAAGCTTAGGACTGGGTTAGAGATAGAGCTAAAAATTGAGAAATCTATACAGAGATAATAATTGAAGTCACTGAGTAGTTCTAATTCCCAAACTAACAAAATTCCCTTTCCTCAAACCACTGCCCCAATGCAAACAAAAGAAGTGGATCCCACAAGATACGCCCTCTGAAAGAAGTGCACAGCCACAATACAAAAAGCTGGTTGTATTCAAAGTAAACCAATACACAGGGACAGCATCCAAAACAGCTACACAGAGTATGACTCAGAAAGGTAAATGTACAGGTCTGTATCCCATCACTAGAAAGTAGAACAGAATTAGGCTGCATGGCTTACATACAGAGAATGACAATTTCTCTACAAAGTAAATGCTATCTGCACTCCATTTTTATATTTAAGAATACACAGGTACATTCTGTTTGCAGGATCAGAATTTCCTAAGAATTATTAAGTTGGGTGCATGGGGAATTTATTAGATGTATCTGATATTTTCCATGATAAAATGTTCTTTTAACTTAAAAAAAAATTCCCTAAGACTTATCAGGAGCGAAGACATATCTCTGTGTCTTTAAGCAGCTAACATCAACCTTCCTGTGATAGAAGAGGCAGGAAGGAAGGACATGATAATTATTTCTCATAAGAAAGACATGGTTAAAGATACGCAAGAGGGTTACTAATTTCTAGAAAGAAGACAAAATAAGATACAGTCTTCAGATACACAGCTGGATAGGAGTTAAAGATAGGTACTATGGTAGCTTCAAAATAAACTGATGAAAAAAGTAAAAACATAAACTTACTCTTTTCAATGAGCTGGTCCTGAACTCCTGCCAACGCACTTACTGCCTAAAAGAAGAAAACCACTAGTTACCAGAAAAATTATCACAGCCCTCAGGAGGGCACTCCCAGACAGAAGGGACAGAGAAAACTCAAAGAAATTTAACTGAGGTCTTCTTCAACAAAGGGCCATATATAAAATCCCCCCACCTCACTTACGGCTGCTGAAGTAACTGAGGATTTACTGAAGAGCCGCTCTGCTTCCTTAAACTTGCGATTCCTTCGATCATTTTTGCTATTGGAGTTTCTAAAACACACACAAGAATTCATTATAAGCACCAAGCTCGGTCTGTGGCTCAAGATGAAGCTGTCCCAAGGCAAATGTGAGCACTCTTTGTTTTTTATAACCTCCACACCACTTAGGTTGACCAAAACAACCTTCATGCTGAATGCCTATGCACACAGAAATGTTTTCCAATGTATGGAATGTGCTCCACTGTGATCTATGAGATTACTTTAGTTGGTTCATAATCATTTTCATTTTAATATGTATGTATTTATTTATTTTTTTAGGATTTTATTGGGGAATTGGGGGAGGGGAACAGCATTGGGAAATCACGGAAGGCAAACAGACAAGTTGCTGTCCTTTTGTTGTTCAGTCTAGTTGT